GAAAAGAGGAAGGGAACAGCCAAATACAACAAAACAGGGGGAAGCAAACATAAACCAATCCTAGATGACAAGTCCCACATGCAAGCACCGCCCCTACCACCAGGGCCAAACAACGGGACAAGACCAACCAGGATTCAGGAACACCCTTGCCTGCAAACAAACAATCCCAGATAACATAYCTTTCGTGCGCGCCAGCTCCAAGAATCCTTTGCGATTGATTTTATTGTTGTTGTTGCAAAAATTGGTACAGATTCAAACTGTCAAGCCACCGCTTTGCTGGTCTAAACTAAATTACTGGGACAGCACCAACAGCAAAAAAACATAAAGGACAATCCTAGATGTCGATTCCCACAAAAAAGCACCGCCCGATATACATATATATACACCCACCTCAGGGTATAAGTTGTGGGGCAATCGTTGATGCTCAACCACAACCGGGGTCAAGGTGGATTATCAATTACAGTGTAATCAGTTAGGGGATTCTCCAGAGTGTACAGGGTTCCGCCTCCTGCTGATTTGAGTAGGTAGGTGAAACTCTGACGAAACAGTCCATCTTTCACAGCCCCTCGTTTGTTGTCCTCTTCTCCCTCCCTCCCTCCCTCCCTCTCTGCCACCTACGGTTTACCGTAGGCTATATATATAGGCAGCTCTGTTTGACGAAATATCGTCACATAGATATCAGAGCGCAAAAGCGAAAAAAAACAAACAAAGGAAACAAAAAAATCAATTCATTTTTCATCTTCTTCCTTACAACTCCCCCTGTTCATATATACATATATATCGTCAAACAGAGCTGCCCGGTAAGCCGTAGACACAGAGGGAGAAGAGGACAACAAACGAGGGGCTATATATCCTCAAACAGAGCTGCCTACGGTAAACCGTAGGTGGCAGAGAGGGACGGAGGGAGAAGAGGACAACAAACGAGGGGCTGTGAAAGACGGACTGTTTCGTCGGAGTTTCACCTACCTACTCATATATATAAATATATACACATATTGTAATCATTTAGATGAGGTCATCAATGCTGCATTTGATCCTTCCGCAGGATTGTGACGTCTCCTTCTTCTAGATGATAAGGTTCAATGAGCTTCTCAGTGTTCTCACACCCTCTGCGGAAGGATAAGAAAATAATTTTTATTTTATTTTTTTAATCTGCATCTGATTCCGTCGCAGAGCTGATGAAAGAGAAGAGGTGCAACCGGTCGGGCAATAATTAAAAAAAAAAAAAAAATCTGCATCTGGAGTCAATTATTTTTAAAAAAATTAATGTCTGGACTCTGGAGTAGAATTGAGACTGAATCATTGAAAGTATAAAAAAAAAAAAAAAAAAAAAAAGGAATAAAGTGACGGGAGGACCAATTAGACTCCATAGTCCAGACATTAAAATTATTAAAAAAAAAAAAAAAAAAAAACTGACTCCAGACGTGAAGAGATTACAGCACAGCAGCACAGAAAGGCAAAAGAAAACGAAAAAGAAAAGGTACACGATAGAGAAGAAGCGCCCAAAGGATGTAGTAATGTCACACATTGACACAACCAATATTTCATCATCATTCTTTTTCCTTTTCTCATTTTTTCTTCTCTTTTTTCAGGATCATCTAGGGCGGCACTTGAGTGAGGACAGGCGTGCCTCCATCGGCCCGAAAATTACCCTCCCACTGAGATCTCTCTCTGCCCTGCCCCTCCCATGCCCCCGGCCCCCCCCC